ACTAGTATGTAATTATTATCAGGTATTAAGTATCATATATAAATTTTCCGATTTGCATAGCACATATGAGTATAGATTTCAGTCTTTTCTGTACGTTGTTTCACGTTAATGCCAAAATTAGGTTAAGATACTGTGTTTTTTAAAAGCCCGCTCTAGCAGAATACCAGCGGTGACCTCAAATCATCACATAGCTGAGTCACAGGCCAATTTGGCTCATTATTTTTTTGTTACTAAGATAAGTTTGTGATAATCTTCTTTGTACACTTTTAACAAGCATATGTGGATTGATACAAATAAAAATCTTTATTATTATTATTATTCTGTAATTATTAATGTCATGGAATTTTCAAATCGAGATAAAAATTGAAGATGGTTTACAATACATTTTACGATTTCTACAGAATACATCTCTTATTGCGGCAAAAAAACTGAACAATTCGGAATTTTGTAGGAAGTCGATTCAGCCGCGCAACTACATAGATTAAGTCTAGTGAGCAGTGCGGCTGCTAGTCTTATTGTGGTCATAGGACCGCGTGGACTTATACTCTGATAAAGTGGAACGCCTGCGTATGGTTACTGCCCTCCGATCCGCCGATGGCCCATGTTGCTTTATGCATTAACGTGATCAAAATGCTTTTAAATAATTATTAATAGCCTTTTGTATGTAGATACATGTGAGAACATTCACTTTATTTTTCCCGCCTTAACGGTAATACAAACTTTTTGTGTACATCTCCAACTATCTTCTTTTAAGATAAATTCTCTAAAAAAGGTACTTCAGTTTCTGATGTTCACATATTAATTATGATAATATCCACCAGACTGAATTACGGTCACGGCAGCCAGTCTTATTGGAGACTAACTTATATTCCGTTACACGACCTGAGAGTAATTAGGCGCAGGGCCAACGCTTTACGTTCTCTTTCTGATATTGAGAATTTCTAGATTAAAAAAAAAACGTTATAACTAATTTTGGCCCATCACGGGATTTGAATCCGGGACAGACTTACCAACAATAATACCTCCAACTACTAGATTAACACGGCGAATTAATAAAATGCTTTAAATCAGGTGTATTAAACGTAAGTGGTAAATTACTCGTATTTTCATATATGCAAAATGTATCCGTCATTATGCAGTACAACAGCCTCACTGAAAGCTGCTGATATATTATTTACAACATTTTCGCCGAATAACCATATCATACTCGTAATAAAGATAATTTTTGATGGTAGACACTGCATAATTTGGACGTGGTATAAGTAACAAGCGATTTGATCACAATTTAATTATATATTCATCTGATTCTTTTTCTTCTTCAACATACCTTAAATGTTCTCCATGTTTGAACTTATAGGTCTAATGTTTATGTGGGAATTATTATATAAAAGAGTGAACAACTAATGGGATATGAGGAATATAACTGTGATGGTGATGGGCTAGCCTTCCATCAACGCTTTCAAAATTTTCCATCTATATCGATACTTTTTTGGCTAATAGTGGTCTAAATCGATTGCTACTCATTGGACACTACCTAGCCACTCGGGGATTACAGGTAGGCGTGACGTTTATGTATAATATATGCTTATGTATGATCCTTTTTCTTTTTTGTCAGACCTTAATAGTCTACTGCTGTTTTGATGAGTATTTGCTATAACCGCTACGAGGCAGATTGGCAATGGCAGTCGTGTTCACGCCTTTGTCACTGCATACCGTCATAAGTCTTTGCATTTTATGTCTGGGAATGTTTATGGTATCTATCGAAAGCCATACGATCTTTTTGGCACTACTCACACTACGTCTTACGCGATCCACGGGATCAAATGATGAGATAAATAAATTTAAATTAAATAATAATAATTAGGTGACAAAGAAAACAATCCTGACAATGTTTTAACGCTTAATTTCATGCAGTGTTGATTTAGACGATTAACTGATGGAGGAGGCCCATACAAATAAACGAAAAATCCTAATTCCATAGTCAGGTGATAGACAGTATCAACACTTTTACGAGGTTATCGTCCATAAACCACCTTGTTTTCATCACGGGCGTCACTTTTTTAATTATAATATGCCAGAGCCTAATTTTAATCCTACATGTATGTAATAATCCTGGGTGTATGTAAGTGGTGTCAAAAAACTACACCCTTATTTTATAAATCAGGTCTGACATATACTAGATGATTATTCTGTTAGAGGCCGAAATTCCCTTGACTTTTTATTTTACTTTCACGGTCACGGAACATGGAAGAAGTCTGTTGAAGTCAATCAATATGTTTGATATTGGACAACATACTTATATGCTGACACAAATTATTAATTAATATTATTTCAGTAATTTTTCAACCATTAGCCTGTTGCTCGTGACTTGCGTCAGGTCAGAATCGACAGCTGATACACTCCCGGCAGGCCCGTTTACCTTACCCGATGACATTTATAGCGACGCCGTGCCGGACCGAACTGAAACATAATTTATGGAACAGACGGGTTTTTAAAAATAATAGGCGAGAGCTTATGGTACAGTTATTTCAGGAAAATACAATGAAGCTTCTAGAAATTTTTCACTAAATTACTTTATCTCTGAACTTGTAGTGACTATACACAAAGTGTAAAGTCAAAAATTTTTTACAAAACATTGTTTACTAAATTAATTTAAACATCAACATTATCATTCACTGCTGAGAATAAGACTCCCTAAAGGAATGTCACTTCAAAAGTCCACCACTGAGAATTCCTGAGCAACCCAATATGTCTTACCAGATCGTTAGTCCATATAATAAGGCACAAAACAGCCCTTTATTTCGCTTACCGATACGAGACTACCGTTCGTGAATCTTTCTTTCTTACCAATTGTCGGTTTTCGTGTCTTTTTTGCCATTAAACTTATTTGTTTACTATTTGTAAGATATTATGAATTAAACTAATTTTTACGGATTTCATTACGTTCAAATTGAAATTTATTTTTAACTCCTGACATTTTGTAGCCCTTACTAGTTCAACGGATCAACTATGACATCCGAACGTAGAAAACTTAAGTTCAGCCTTAGCATTAGCCCTCGTCATCTTAGATGATGAAAACAATCATCATTATCATCATCATCATTACAGCCCTTCACAAGTTCACTACTGAACATAGACCTTCCCCAAGGAATGCAACAAAACGGTCCCGAGCCACCTGCATCCATTGACTGCCTTCATGTCTTACCAGGTCGCCACTCCATCTAGTGGGGGGTCGCCCTACACTTCGCCTGCCGGTACGAGGCTGCCACTTGAGAACCTTTCATATCCATCGTTTGTCGGTTCTTCGAGCTACGTCGGTTATTCTGGTTCTACTACAGATATCCTCGTTTTTAAGTCTATCATGCAGAGAAACGCCGAGCATGATCCTTTCCAGAACTCGCTCAACAACCTTGAGCCGCTGCTGGCCGTATGAGCAACATACGGCAAGCAGTGAAGGCCTACGTCTCAGATCCTTAGGTCATTACTGGCACCACGCACTAGTTGTACAATCTAGTTTTGAGGTTTTGAGGAGAAGATGTATCGTAATTTCCTGAACGCTGCCCAGCCGAGTTCAATCCGTTGATTGACCTCTCGATCGAAGTTGGACTTACTTAGTCGAACTATTTGTCCCAGGTAAACATATTCGTCAACAACTTCGATCTTTGTGCTCCCAACAATTACCAACATAGGTGTGACATGGATATTAAACATGATTTTTCTTTTTTCCATGTTCATCCTAAGACCTATCCATTGGGAGACACAATTGAGGTCATAGAACGTAGTGCTTAGGCCCTCCAGCAATTCTGCCATAAGGACTATATCGTCAGCAAATCGAAGTTGAGTGATGTACTCACAATTGAAGTTAATACTGTATCATTTCTATTCCAGTAGCTTGAAAATATCTTCCAGCAGTGAAGAGTTTCGGGGAAATTACGTCATCCTGTCTTACACCTCTCTGCAGTTGGATAGGTTCCGTACTCTGGTTATGTACTCTGATAGCCATTGTAACCCCAGAAATCTAAGTTTCATTTGCAACGCGTAATGGGAAACTGTAAATTCTGATATGAGGAGCTCAATACTGCGTTAGTGTAAATCGAGGCGCTTTAAAATTCAAGACCTCTAACGACTCTATCATCGGATCCAGACGACTTGCTCCCGCTTACACCTGGACACTTTATCATTGGACGGCCTCCCATTGCCTAATTGTGAAACCCATTAACCAAAGTATAATAATAATAATAAATAAAAAGGCGTAGGGAAGTGACGACATCATCGCCCGCTGACGTAACGGTTATGTGACAAAACTGCAACGTCAGCGCAGTCAGTCAGCACCTTCCCAAGAGGTGTTAGCGCCGTGCCTCGACAAAATTGAAGGTGCATAGGCCCGCCTGTGCACATGGCCTCACCATGAAACTGGGCCGGGTCTGGGCGTCTCCCGTTAACTGACGCCCACTACATAGATGATGGAAAGAAGGAATACGCGCAAAGGGCCGCTGCCTGGAGGTCGCCAGGGCTCTATGAATCATTGGAGCGACCAATGGTACGTGGAACGGGCCCAGCACCGAATCAGGCCGACACTATCGCATTCTGGCGTGACCTGTGGTCAGAGTCCGTAAACCACAGCGAGGGCCCTTAAACGGAATTAGTGGCGAGTCAGTTTGCGAATGTTACGCCCATGGACCCCGTCATCATAACGCTGGATGACGTAGCTGAGGCGGTCCGTAGGGCCCAGAACTCTAAAAGTCCGGGGCTCAACGGGCTGCATCACTACTGGCTGAAGTGCTCAGTGCTCAGTGCTCGCCCGACAGTTTCAAGAGGCTCTCGACCAAAAGTCGCTCCCGAGACTCTTCACTACTGGGATCACTCATTTGGTTCCTAAAGACCGGGATTCCACAAACCCGAGTAAATACCGCCCCATAACGTGTCTACCTACCATATACAAGAGACTAATATCCATTTTGAGCGAGAGAATCACTCGTCACCTGAACTCAAATCAGGTGATGACACGCGCTCAAAATGGATGTCGGGGCGGTGGTCGTGGAACCAAGAAAACACTCCTCATTGACGCGGTCATTGGCAAGGTAGTTAAACGCAACCGTCAGAACCTCTCCGCCGCCTGGATAGACTATAAAAAGGCATTCGACTCGGTGCCTCATACATGGCTTAAGAGGGTCCTCGAGCTGTATAAGGTCAATTGTACAGTTCGAGACTTCCTCGGGCAGTGTATGGGGCAATGGAGTACGATGCTTTGTCAACTAGGCGAGCGGATGACGGCTGCGGAGAACCACATAAGGATAAGAAGGGATATCTTCCAGGGCCATTGTTTGAGTCCAGTCTGGTTCTGCCTCTCTCTGAACCCTCTCAGTACCTTACTGGAGGGCTCCGGAAGGGAATTTCAGCTTCGGAAAGGAGGTACAAAAGTGACCCACCTTTTCTATATGGATGATCTCAAGTTATTCGCCTCCAGTCGCTCTCATCTTATGGAATTGCTAAACATCACTTGTGATTTTAGCAATTCTATTAGAATGGAGCTGGGGACGGATAAGTGTCCGGTCCTCCATGTTGAAAGGGGAAGGGTTGCTAACTCTGAGTGCATAGACTTATCTATGCCCATCAACATAAGGACCCTTTCCGAGAATGAAACATACCGATACCTGGGTATGTCACAGAACATCGGTGTAGATGAGACGGGTATGAAACAGTCAGTTTACGATGTGTTTTATGCACGCTTAACCAAAGTGCTTAACAGCCTTTTGTCCGGTGTGAATAAGACGCACGCATATAACGGTTGGATCATGCCTGTTCTCATGTATACCTTTGGCATACTAATGTGGACTCAGACCGAACTGAACGCTCTGGACAGAAAAGTCCGCACTATTATGACGTCCCACAGGATGCATCATCCGAGATCGTCAGTAGGCTGTACTTGCCGCGGAAGAATAGTGGACGCGGCTTTTTAAGCGAGTTTACCATGCATAATCGCGATGTGTGCATCCTCCGTAATTACTTTCTGACGAGAGCGGATGATCCATACTATAGGGACGTTATTTCTTGTGATAAAGAACTTACCCCTCTATCCTTAGCTAACGAGCAATGGCAAGACCCGGCAGTACAGAGCATTTCCGACCGGGAGACCGTGTGGAAGGAGAAGGAGCTTCACAGGAGGTTCTACAAGACTCTACATGAGCCTTTCGTAGAGACACAGTCGCCTTCCTCCACTGCCTACGTTTCGGTGACCTCTTTGGGGAAACCGAGATTTTTGTCTGTGCAATACAGGATCAGGTTATTAAGACCAACAGTTATCGGAGATACATCCTAAAGGATGGCGCCGTCGACATCTGTCGAGCTTGTCGCCATCCCGGTGAGTCACTTAGGCATATCATCTCCGGTTGTTCGGCGCTTTCTAACTCTGAGTATTTGCACAGACATAACCTAGTAGCCAGGATTCTACACCAGGAGCTCGCTCTGAAATACGGTCTTGTGGATCGGAAACTACCATATTATAATTACTTGCCGGAAGCCGTGCTCGAAAATGACCGCGCCAGGCTCTACTGGGACCGAGCCATCATCACAGACAGGACTATTCTTGCGAATAAGCCGGATATTTTGCTGATGGATCGGGTACAGTCAAGGATATTTTTGGTCGACATTACCATTCCTTGTGACGAGAACCTCGTGAAAGCCGAAACAGATAAGCTAACAAAGTATCTGGACCTGACTCACGAGGTGACCGACATGTGGGGTGGATTGCCGGCCGAAATTATAGCTGTAGTCGTCTCTGCGAACGGGTTAATCCCATTCAGCCTCTCAGGTCATCTGAGGCGACTGGGACTCCGTGACGGACCGCTCTATGCTCAAATGCAGAAGGCGGTGCTCCTCGATACCGCCCGCATCGTCCGCCGGTTTCTTTCCCTTTCTCCCTAACCCTCGGCCGTTTGGTCTCCCTGCCGAGGGCTTCCATCTGGTTGGGTTTTTATATATTTATGTATTTTTTATGTATTTATTTTATTTTATTGATATTTATGTACGTTTACCATGTTTATTTACAATTATATATTTATATTGCCCAACCAGATGAGAAAACTTTATAGGTACCACATAAGAATAACAATGTATAATTATACAGCCCAACCAGATGAGAAAACTTTATAGATAACCCAAATGCTTTTATGCTTTTGATAATGCTTTTATTTCTTTAAAATTACAAATAAACAATATATATAATAGACGGGTCGTCCTAGTAAGTTTAAAAGAAAACCGCGTATGTGTGTGTGTGTGTGTGTGTGTGTGTGTGTGTGTGTGTGTGTGTGTGTGTGTGTGTGTGTGTGTGTGTGTGTGTGTTGGTTAATTAATTTACAATTTACAAAGTACGGCGTAAGAGTGCCTCAAGGTCGTCGTAATTCTGTGTTTTTAACCAGGTGATTACAGATTTTTTCGCGTTGAGTTGTGTTATGAATGTCCAATAAACCGTTAATGCTGTTGTAAAGGTAAACAGAATTCGCAGTATATTGACGTTTGGCAAACACTGTTTTAGTGCGAACAGTTTTTGTTACATCTTTTTTTCTTCTTCTTTTTTCTACGGTAGGATCAAACGGTATGGTTTTACGAATTTTTAGAGTAGTAAGTAAAATGTATTACTGTCTCACGGCTAGCACACCACAAAAGTTATATAATGCCATAGTGCATATCATATAACATATATTAACATAAGTTTGCATCCCGGTACCGATGCAGTTAATGGAGTTGCAGAGATTAAGACTGCTGGTGGAATAATCAAACGGGCGTTTAACAAAATTTGTTCACTTCTTGACAGTACTTCCCATTGAAAGTCGAGCTTTCAATATCCGGGGGCATGCTGCGGAGCACCTGCGACCGTGCTACTAGCAATCTACCATCACGGAATGGCTTGCTTGAATACCAATTTTAGTACATTTTTTTTTTACCTCCCATATGTCATAAAATATAACTTATTTGTAACTGTCCGGCGTCAATCAAATTACACGTTTTTTAAATTTCGAAGCTCATAATTTTTCACCTGAGCTATCTTTCTCCAACAATACTCGTTAATATATTTGTGGCCTCAAATATAAATAGTTCAACAAAATTTAACTTAAAAGCTGAGCTTAAAATATATATTACGTAGAGTACATATCTATTTATTTATTTAATACGACTGAATTTATACTGAATTTTTATTTCATTTGGGCTTGCCTACCCCAATCCGAATGCGCGTTGGTGGACTGTAGCAAGAGGAGTGTCCTCTCTGCCTTCCTGCTGCAGTCGAGTGGAGTCAGGGGAGAAGAGGAGTGTTGGAATGTCAATGAGACACTCGCCCTATCCTCAGCATCTATGGCAGGGCCGCACCGTTAATACATGTAACTTGGTTGGTGGCGAAGCCATAAATAAGATCGACGCTGGGGTCAGGAAGGCTAGTGCTTCTGTGTGTTTGACTTTCCTGACCACATGGTCTCCACGTACAGCTCGGGGGGCTGGATGTGCAGGTGGATTAAGATGCCGCGGAGCACGACGCACCTAGTGTTATGGTGCGCTTTACCTGAAAAAAAGAGGAGGGTGAGGAGATTACTTCTCCCGAGGAGAGGCAGCCATAGGGCGGTCGGCGTGGATGCGACCGCGGATGTATGTGAAAGCATTCCTGTGGTCCTATCATTATGTGTTGAAGGTGAAAAACTATGGGGTTATAGTCGGTACGAGTCCGACATAACTCCTCCTTGCCTTCACGAGGCCGGTATGCGTAGGCATTTCCCCTGGTAAAGAAAAAGGGACTGAAATATAGTTTGATACTCTGTGCACTCTTACTAGCTTTGGTACCATAGGAGCTTAAGTTTTAAGGAAATAATAAAAAAAATATTTGAAAAACCCAAAAATACACACCCAAGTTTTTATAGTCAATAGATTAACGTGATGATATTCATTTCATTTGTTGTTCAATTTATACTACAATAAAGTTGGAAATAAACCTTGCCAATTTACAAATTCATTATCAAATAACATAAGTCAGTAAAACAGTCTATTAGTTAATAAGTGAGTGATAAAATTCACTTTTCAAACTTTAGTAACTCAATTTTATTAATTTATCTATAAATTTTTAGGACTTAAGTTTTAAAAGGTTTTTTTTTTGTACAAATTTTAAGCGTATCCGTTTTATAGTTTTTGAGTTATGGGGGTTGGGGGTTGAAAGTAACTCGAATTGGATTGTAAATATACACACAGCCAAAGCGTTCCTTTTTCAGAACTTGGCTGTAACACTGCCTTGTCTAGATGAAGTTTTCACTACGTGTTAGTGCGGTATAAAAATAATGAGCCCAATTTATGTGGGCAAGTTGCGCGAGCTTGACATGAGTCACTTGACGAGTCGCCAGTAAAGCTAAAAACAAAAAACGGTTAGGCCCAATTTTGACTTGTTTTCTGTTTGTGAAGTTACATTTTGAGTTGACACTCGGTGTCTTTTATTATCTGTCTATCGCAGAAGTTTTTTTTTATAAAGTATTTTACGTAGATAATTTCTAAAGGTTTCTACATTTGTGGCGTAGTTATAAGTGACTTAGTGTTTCAACCCCCGATTCATAAATGGGCATTTAAAAAAAATACTCAGGCGAATTCGCTCGAGGATGGTCGTGCTTCCTTTTAGTTCCGCAAATTCCGTGGCATCACGCACTCGACGCGCAGTACCTTGATGGAAAACCCTGGATAGATTCATGAGGACATTTTTTGATGGATCAGTTCATTAAAAGTCTACTGCTGAACACAGGAATGTCACAAGGTACGATCTTAAGCAACCTGAATCCACCTACCTCCTGCATTCCCTACCATGTTCTCACTCTATCTAGTGGTCAGACCCGTCTTTGACGGAACGGTGAAAAAAAAGGAGGGAGAGAGAGAGAGAGAGACTAATAATATTAGAAAAGAAGAAGATACCTTAAAACAGAAAACCTAAAATAAAATTATTAAAATTTTCGTTTTTGATCTATACATTGTAATGTTGTTAAAACAAAATTTTCTAAAGCTATCCGAGTATAAAACTTCCTGCCAAGTATTGACGGGTATTACACGGGATCAACATATTGTTTGCGAATCATGTCACGCTCTAACCGAAGTTGAATCGTTTATTTTTCACATAAGCTCTCGGTGACTGGTATATTATTTCGTGTTTATATGAGTTTGTTGAGTTCAGGGGCACAGTAAATTTTATTATACCAGTGCAACCCGATTGCAGAAGCTGGTATAATGTACCACATTATACTTTAGGCCGCATTGCAACCCTCAGCAAAAAAATTTTTCATAAGATAAAATGAACATAAACAAATTGTAAATAACAATAGTACAAATAAACATTTCAATTGTTCCACTTTTATATTCAACGAACTTAATTAAACGTAATTTATACGTAACTACTCGTTTACGATGGGTAACGGTTATCTGAAAATTGAAAATTTTTCCCTAAATAAAATATATTATGCTTGACGGCAAAAGATACAGCCTTTATTCTTTTTTTTTTAAAGCAATCTGTTATCTCTATTATATACAATAATATGTGTGTTAGTAGCGCTTCTATTCTACCAAGAAGTCTGTCTAGGTCGGTACAACTTTTAAATAGTGTATGAAGAGTCAGTATAATTGCAAGGTCTGAAGAATCTTAGTCCTCAAGAATGACAATAAATCTAAAGCCGAAGAACTTTAAACAAAGAGTCTGAAGTACTTTGTCGATGCGCTGCAGTACGGACAAACTGCCATTGCGTAAACTTTTAATTCCAAAATTAATGCCTCCGCCATGTCTCTAATAGAAAATACTAGAAAAAAGCGAAGCGTCAGTAGCCTAAAGGCAGGACGCGGACCGCGAACTCGAAAGGTCGTGGGTTCGAATCCGCCATTCCACTACTGTCGTGAACCACTTCTAACACAAGCATTTTAAGCTTACCAGAAGTGGTTAAAGGGAATATTA